CCAAACCCATTGCCGTAGAGTCTGCCATCGAGTCAATTCCAACTCACAGTGACCCTACAGCACAGAGCAGAACTGTCTAGGAGGGTTTCCAAGGAGCGCCTGGTGGATTCGAACTGCCGTCCTTTTGGTTAGCAGCTGAACTCTTAACCACTGCACCACCCGGATTTCTTCTATTACTATAGTTTTGCCTTATCTAGAATTCCATATAAATGAAATTAAACAGTATGCATCAATTGTGTTTGACTTCTTTCACTTAGTGTAATATTTTTGAAACATTCAAGTTGTTACATGTATTAATATTTTGTCCCTTTTTTATTGCTGAGTGTTGTCCCATAGTATGGATATGCCACACAGTGCGTTTGTCCATTTATTACTTGATGGACATATGAATTCCTTCCAGTTTTTGGCTATTGTAAACAGTAATTGTAAGAATATTCCCTTATACGTCTTTGGGAGAATATAGGTTTTCATTGCTCTTGGATAATTACCTATGAGTGAAATTGCTGAGTTGTATGGCAAGTGTATATTTATAAAATACCACCATACTGTTTTCCAAAGTGGCTTATTGTACATTTAACAGTTTAACATGTAACAATGTACATTTAACAGTTAAACGCTTAACTGCTGGCAGGGTGTGTGAGTCACCAACACTTTGTATTTCCAGTCTTTTTAGCATTAGCCTTTTTAGTAGGTGTGTAAAACCATCACATTATGGCTTTAATTTCTATTTATTAGTGATATTTTTACTAGTGACATCTTTACTAATTTTGACTATAGATGTGGAGCACCTTTTTATGTACTTACTGTTCCAAGAGCAACTCTTGAAAGCAGCAAGAGAAAAATGGCACACTATATATAGGGGAACAAAGACCCAATTAATGCCTGACTTCTTATCAGAAGGAGCCTTGGTGGTGCAGTGGTTAAGAGCTCGGCTGCTAACCAAAAGGCCTGCAGTTTGAATCCACCAGCTGCTCCTTGGAAACCTGTGGGGCAGTTTTACTCTGTCTTATAGGGTCCCTAGGAGTTGGAATCGACTCGACGGCAACGAGTTTTCTTATCAGAGACAATAGAGGCCAGAAGAGAGTGGAGAAACATTTTTAAATGCTGAAAGAATAATAAAAGAAAGACGCAAACTGTAAACTCGGAATTCTGTATCCAGTGGATTTTAAAACATATACTACCCATGCACTTGGGGTAAGACCAACTTTTCAATGTACTGTTTTCAGCGTGCTTGATGAGGTCAACCAAGCTGGGGAAGTGGAATCTGCAGAAATTAAGAAGGTGACGCTGCCTGTCCTGGTGTTGATTCACTAGGGACAGGCAGGCAGCTCATTGTGTCATGAAACCACATCCAACAGTAGTTGCCAGTTCCACTGCCTCAAGGGGCTCAGGCATATGGGCTTCTGTGTCTCTTGGTAAACACCTGACTTCTTTGTTTTGGGACTTTGGATAATCAGCCTCGCAACTTACCAGAAAGACAGACAGACAGAAGAAATTCCATACCTTTGGCCTGTGCTGTATGGATTTTGGACTTGCTTAGCCAGACTTGACAACCACATAAGCCAATTCTAGCTAATAAAACTCTTAATATCTATACTTTCTACTGGTCTGTTTCTCTGGTTGAACCCTGATTAATATAGTACTTTTGTTATTATGTTATTATGCTGTCTTACAGATGGGGAAGCCGAGGCAATGGAGAGCTTAACTGATTTGTCCAGGGTCACACAGCTAAATGGTTAAGTGAGGATTCAAACCTAAGCATCCTGATCCCAAATCCTGGGTCTTACCCACTGCTGCCTCTCTAGACCCCAAAGTGACATAAATACACATTTACTTGCTCCTGTGTTGTTGTGTGCCCTTGAGTCAATTCCAACTCATGGAGACCCTATATGACAGAGTAGATCTGCCCCATAAGGTTTCCTAAGTAATCTTTCTTCTGAGGAGCGGCTGGTGAGTTCAAAGCACCGACCTTTCAGTTAGCAGCCAAGCACTTAACCACTGTGCCCTCAGGGCTCCTTACTTGTTTCTAGCCCAGTGATTTTTCCCACAAAAACCACTTTGTTAGTTACAGATTAGCAACAGTAAATGACCAATGACTTGAAGTTGTTTTGTTAATTTTTTTCCTGATATAAACATCAGCCACTTTGTCATTACCCACTGATGAGTTCATACCTGTAATTTATAATAGACGATAAACAATTACTCAGTAACAGAAATATCACTGGCTTGTCTTCATTCAATTTATTTAGAAATAAGAGCAGCTCTGGTAGTCATAAAGTGAGTGATTATTACAAATTTGGTAGTTTGTCCAAATATACATATTAAATCTAAAGATCAAAATCAGATCTATCTATACAGCCAAGAAAATTCACACTATCACCAGTGAGGGTTTCCTTACATTTCTTTCCCCGTGTCAAACATCTGTCCTATAGGATCACTATGAGTCGGAATCCACTCGATGGCAACCGATTTGGTTTGGTTTTTGGTATGAACATTAAACAATAAAATATCTTTAACTTTCTAAACAGGTATTTAAATTTTACAATTTCAGTTGAAAATAAGGACTCAGCCAACACTTTAAAGAATAAGGTCTAAAGCACGAAATACAACTAGCCTGAATTAAAGAGGTGGAAATAGTGTTTTGAATTTAGCTAGCTGTCATTCCCTGAGGCATGCTAATTGTCTTTTCCCTGTGGATGTTACAAAATTTTTTTTTCAAAACATAAGGACAACAAGGGCTTAGATGATTCTTAAAACCCTCGTTGCTGCTGAGGGTATAAAACGGTGAGGATTTGAATCGTTTTGAAGGAAGATACATTTGTAGAAATATTTTGAGATCCAGCGTACTCGCAAGGGGCAAGGATAGCGGGGGCTTTCCCTTTATGTTAAAACAGGAGCTATGGATTTTAACCAAAGAGCTTAACAGTTTGCAGTTCGAAAGGGTCACAGTGAACTAACATCTCATTCCTGCCTATAAAATCTAAACGGCAAGAGATGGGGCTGGTTGGTTGCTCTGCTGGTGGAAGGAAGGTGGGTGTGGTCAGCAGCACAGGGAATGGCCTAGACTCCCAGTGCTTCTCAGGGCAAAGGGTCATGCTTCCCCCAGACCAGCTGTAACTCACAGGGCAGAGAGCTGGCATGAGATGACTTAGGTCTTGTTCAAGGGGGATACCTGGAGGTGCAAAGATGGTTAGGTATAAAGAAGCTGCAACAGGTCATAAAAGTGCATCACTCATATGATGGGAATCACAAGCGACGGTTCCCAGCAAAGGGGTGGGAGAGGATGGATCTCCAACCTCCAAGAGAGAATCAACTCGAATGCCTGCTGGACCAGAGATACTCGTGACAGTACCACACAAGCACTCTCCTGTTCCCTGACCCTCTTTTGCCTCCCCAATCTCTGACACAAGGAGGGTTGTAAACTGAGATTCACAGCTGGGGGTAGAGGAATAGAAGAGCTCTTAGAGGGAAAGGAGAAGCCAGCCATGACCCTCTTCTGCTGACTTCCTACTTAGTGCAGGCTCAAACTGGACATGGGAAGATGCCTCAATTTTCAAGCAAGTTCAGAGTTTTCATTATTACGTGGAATTGGATTTGTAATTTCTGAATAAGGACTGCACTGAAATTTAGAGTGACTGGAGGATTTTTTTACTTAAGAGTGATCAGGAATGTCATGGGATGTGTAGATTTCCCTCTAGGGAAGGAACCATTGTTGGGTGCTGTAGAGTCTATTTTCTACTCAGTGATCCTGTGTGACAGAGTAAAACTGCCCCACAGGGTTTTCTAGGCTGTAATGTTTACAGGAGCAGATCACCAGGTCTTTCTCCTGTGGAGCTGCTAGATGGGTTCGACCCCCCAACCTTTCTGTTAGCAGCCAAGTGCTTAAGCATTGCTCCACCAGGGCTCCTTAGGAAAAGAACTAGCCCTACACAATAAATCTAAAGGGAAAGTGGGAACAAAAATAAAGTTGTTGTTTTTTAAAAATACATCCCATTAAATGTGCCTGTTCTAAATATCAGCTATATTGGTTGTAACATTTCCACAAAGTTGCATTCTCTGCTTGTTACTGGGAGGTAACACAGAGGTGTGGACAAGAAATGCAATGCCCAGGGCCATGTATGTGTTCATACCCAATCATCCTTTTGTAATGCCACTCAACTCAACTGTTCCTCTCTGGAGAACACAGCACTGTTCTATTTTCTGTGAAGATTCTTTGCAGTCTAAGGTATGAGAAAACTGAGTGATACCAATTCTTTCGTTGACATTAGTCATCATTGTATGTGTGACTCCATTAATTATCAATATGAAAAGAGAAAAACACAAGCATACAGCTTTTATTTTTTAAAAGAAGAAATATATTATTAGTATTTATCCCTTCCACTTCCAGCAGATCATTAGTCTTCTCACAAATTCTTCAAGGGCCCCACTTCTCAGCCGTTGTTACATTTTAAGCCTCTTAATTTCAAATGTTATTTTGTGGTGTCCAATCCCGAAGAAGTTGGTATCTTTCTTTTGTGCAGGAACTAGCACTATAATTGGTCTTAACATATATTGTTTTTACTCTGTTCCATGAGGAGGTAAAAGAATGGGAGGTTCTTATCAACACAAACACATAGGTATGCATACATACAAGAGGGAGATTTTGATGGGATTTTACGCTTTCATAGGAAGACTATACAGGAAGAATACTGCTCCCCAAAGCTATAACCAAAACAGTTGCCTTCGAGTCGATTCAGACTCATGGTGACCCCACGTGTATCAGAGTAGAACTATGCTCCATAGGGTTTTCAATGGCTGATTTTTCAGAAGTAGATCACCAGGCCTTTCTTCTGAGGCACCTTTGGGTGGACTCCAACTTCCAACCTTTCAGTTAGCAGACAAGTATGGTAATCATTTGCACCACCCAGGGACTCTCCCAAAACCATATCCTCAAATAAAATACTTCATATGTTTGGGTCTCATTGCTCTCAAAATTTGACCTTCCCTTCCTTCTTTCCTCTTCCCTTCCTTCTCTTTTTAAAACAAGCGTCTGCTGTAATGTGAGAAGTTACATGCCTTTTCCTTTCCTCAGTGGCAGGAGCACTCCTGCAGGTCTCCCGCGAGGATGTGCCTATCTCACTAAGTGAACCTTCACAGACTCACTTGCTGAGGAGGATGTGTGCTTCCCCTTTCTAATGCATGAAGGGGGATAATGGTCAAATGTGCACACACTGAACCAGCAGATCTACTGCTAGGCTGGCGAGCTTGGATCTTCAGTGTGCACTGTTTTAAATTTCTTGTCTCACTCACCTCAGTGAAACAAACAAACAAAAAAAAGATAAAGCAATACAAACCCAAATCCCATAGAAAGCAAGATCGGTTTCCATTAACTTGAGCCGTGAAAGCAATTGTATAGGGTTATATATTTGGAAAAGGTCCTTTGCATTTCAATAGTGTGCCACCTACAAATATAACCAGAAAAATTGAATTTAGGTTAAATGAATAAGATGCAGCATCTAACTGAAGTGTTACTATACATGAAAAAACATGTATTCATTAGGAGGTTACAGTTGCAGTCTCTGCTTGTTACTGGGAGATAATACAGAGATGTGGATAAGAAATGCAATGCCTAGGGCCATATATGTGTTTACACCCAATCATCCTTTTGGAATGCCACTAAATTTTCCCAAATTGCCTTCTTTCTGAGAAAAATTGTGTTGCTGTTGACATTGGCTTTTTGATATTTCCCTGTTGGCAATCACTGTAAAAGAATCTTACATTTTTCTCCCTTGATTCAAGTCCAGGTCAGAGGTAGGATTGAAATAAGTGATACAGCCATTCAAGACAAAGATTCATGCCCACATTTTCTGACTGACAGCAACCTGGGAATTGCTGTGACCCTACAAAGTGACCCCCTACTGTTGACTAGAGACCCCCTTTTCTATTCCATTCCATTAGTTTTCCCAGGTTTTTCAGTTTGTGACATGAGTGATCATGAGTATGAGGAAATCACGAAAAAGAAACTGATACAATCTGACCCTCATTTTGTCCACAGCCAGCCTGGAACCACACTTAAAAGAACCTGATCTAACGTCATCTGGTACCAGAGAGGACCATGTTGCGGTGAGGAAACTGGCTCTGGGGTAAAGGGACCCACAGTTGTGTGGGGAGAACTGAGGTTACAACCCAGGTAACAGTGCTTCCCCATGCTCCCTCCCCAGCCATTCAGTTTAACCCTCAGAGTCTTCCAGAGCGCACCCAGGCCTCAAATCTCATGAGCAGTCGGCACACTTACCACGTCTTTGTTGAGATGGAAGTGTGGCTGCAAACCCGAGAGGAAGAAAGTCTTGGAGGATCCCGTTCAGGTTCTCCGCAACCACCTCTAGAAAGGGAAGCCTTCTTTTAATGTCCTCTCTCAGATGCCCAGAGGAGTCAGAAACTGGCCTGGCAACTTTTCTCACAAAGGCTAGACCTGTCACTGCCTGGTCATTGCTTGTCGCCCACCTCCAATCACCACACCTTTTACTGAGGCAAGTTTTACCAAGACCAGCTCATGTGCAGTCGATTCTGGCTCCTGGCAACCCTACGTGTGTCAGAGTAGAACGGTGCTCCACAGAGTCTTCAAGACTGACCTTTTGGAAGCAGATCACCAGGCCCTCTTTATCAAGACATCTCTGGGTAGGTTTGAATTGCCAACTTTTTTGTTAGTAACCAAGTGCTTAATCATTTGTGCCACCCAGGGACTCCTAAGGCAAGTTTATTAAGGTATAATTTACATATAGTAAACTTTGCCGCTTTTTATTTATTTATTTATGTTGTAGTTTAAGTGAAAGTTTACAATTCAAGTTAGTCTCTCATACAAAAAATACATAACGTTGTTACGTGACCCTAATTGCTCTCCCTATACTGTGACGGCACACTCCTTCTTTCTACCCCTGATTTTCCATGTCTATTCAACCAGCTCCTGACCGTCTCTGCCTTCTCATCTCACCTCCCGACAGAAGCTGCCCACTTAGTCTCAAGTATCTCCTTGAGCTAAGAAGCACACGCCTCACAAGTATCATTTTATGTCCCACAGTCCAGTCCAGTATTTGAGGAGTTGGCCTCGGGAATTGTTTTAGTTCTGGGTTGACAGAGAGTCCGGGGGCCATGTTTTTCTGGGGTTCCTCCAGTCTCAGTCAGACCATTAAGTCTGGTATTTTTACTAGAATTCGAGTTCTGCACGCCACCTTTCTGCTGCTCCATGAAGGACTCTCTGTTGTGTTCCCTGTCATGGCAGTCATTGTTTACTGCTCTTTACGTGCACAGTTTGATACATTTTGACAAATGTATACAGTACCACCACAATAATCAAGATATAGAATATTTCCCTCACCTCATAAAGTTTCCTCTTGCCTCTTTGTAGTCAATTCAACCCTTGCTCCCAACCCCTGGCAAACACTGGTCTGTTTTCTCTTCCTATAATTGTGCCCTTTTATGAATGTTATATAAATGGAATCATACAGTATGTAGCAAAAGGTGTCTGGTTCCTTTCATTTAGCATAATGCTTTTAAGACTCGTCCATGTTGTTGCATACATCAGTAGTTCATTCCTTCTTATTCCTGAGTCGCTTCAGGCCCAATTAAAACTTCATTTCCCTTTACAATAATGACAAAAAAAAGTAGCTGTTGAGGCTGCTTAAGTACAACCACACTTCATGGGATTTTGTTTCTTGGTTTGGAGGTTTAGGATCATGGTTTCATGGGACATCCCAGTTAACTGGCCTAATAACATGTTTAGTGCTTCTGTTCTACCTCCTAGTTCATTGTGTTAAAAGCTTGGGGCCTTAAAAGCTTGCAAGTAGCCATCCAAGGTGCAACAATTGGTCTCTATTCACCCGGAACAGCAGAGGAAGGAGAGTCAGGACTAGGAGGAAGATGTGGAATGTGTGGTTAATTGCCTCCATGAACAACTGCATCCTCTGTCATGAGACAAGAACTGGGTGGTGCCCAGATACTATTACAGAACATTTGGTCAAAGATTCCATAGAAGAATCCTGATCAAAAGGGGGAAAATGCAGAACAGAATTTCAAATTCTCATGAACTCCAGACTTTTCTGGAACCAAGGAGGGTGGATGAACTTTTAAAACTATTGTCCTGAGATAATTTTTAAACCTTAAACCAAAAATATACCCTGAAATTGTCTTAAAACCAAACAATAGTTTAGCTTAACTGGTAAAAAAAGATCTGCTTTGAGCATTATTCTCTTTTACGAACTATCTATATGGGATCAAAGTGACAAGAGCAACTCGAAAGATTAGATAGGAACCTTAGAGGGCAGTGAGTTTATATTAATGAGGAAGGAACAACTAAGAAAAGGAGGGTGAGAATGGTTGCACAACTCAAAGAATGTAATCAATGTTACTAAGTTGTACATATAGAAACTGTTGAGTTGGTATATGTTTTACTGTGTATATTCTCAACAATGATAAAATAAATAAAATTAGAAAAAAAAACTCATCTCCTTTGTTAAGTGCACCCTAATCTCCCTCCACCACCTCACCATCTCATCTCTCCTTTTCTTTTGGGCACCTTGGGAAGTTTTTTTTTATTTGCTTGCTTGTTTATGTCTTGTCTCAACTGTTCAATGGTAAACTCGTTAAGAGGGGATGTAAGACAATGTTGCCTTGTTCATTACTATAGCTGGCACAATGCCTTGCATATTTGTCTAATCAAATTCTTTCTGTTGTTTTTTTAAATTAATAGTCCTCGTTTTTTAGAGCAGCTTTAGGTTTACAGAAAAATTCAGCAGAAAGTACCGAGGTCTTATACAGCCCCTCTCTGCAGCCCAACCCACTCGCAGTTTCCCCTATTATTAACATCTTGCATTAGTGTGGTGATTTGTTATAATTGATGAACCAATATTGATACATTATTAATAAGTGAAGCCTATAGTTTACATTAGGGTTCACTCTTTGTGTAGTGCAGTTCTATGGGTTTTGACAAATGTATAATGTCATGTATCCACCATTACAGTATCATTCAGATAGTTTCACTGCCCTAAAAATGCCCTGTGCTCCACCTATTCATCCCTTCCCCCTCCCCCCTCCCCCCTGGAAACCACTGATATTTTTTACTACCTCTATAGTGTTGCCTTTTCCAGAATATCACAGAGTTGGCTTCTTTCACACTCCACTCACCTATTGACTCTCTGTGTTTTAAAGATTCTTTTCCCCTTCTTTGTGCCCTTGTGCTGGGGTCAAGGAGAACAGCTCACCAGCAACTGTGTGTGTGTGTGTGTGTGTGTGTGTGTGTGTGTGTGTGTGTGTGTCTGTGAGAGAGAGAGACAGAGACAGAGACAGAGAAGGCACTGTTTGGATCTACAGTCTCCTTAGCTTTTTCCACTTGAGGCAGTTACCTCAGGGTCTTTTTTCTCCACTGGGGACCTAGCTCCCACTATCTGATGACTCATGAAGCAGACTCAATCCCCCTGCCCCCAGTATCACTTCTACACACCAAAGGCTACTTAACTGCCAACACCAGTGACGGTCCGAGTATTTTCTTCCCCTTGTCTGCACCACCAGGCAAACTGGGAGTGCCAGTGAGTTAATGCTTATGATAAGCAGCCCTCTCAGCCAAGGATAGACTGGTAGCTGGGAGTCGATGGATCAATATCCCAGCTTCCTCACTGCCCCCCTCCTATGGTGGGATGACTCTGAGGTGTGGTCTACACTCTTTCTCACAAATACCCAGCAGAATTGAGCCCCAGTATCCCACAGAGGTAACAGGCTTGGCATGAACCCTGGATTGGCTTCCTTCTGCCTGTCTCACTTTCCCATTTCCCTACCAGTGCTTCCAGGGGTCGGCTACCAAATAAACTACTTGCACTTAAATTCCTGTCTCAGGGTCAGCTTCTGGAGGAACCCAAATCAAGACAACTCGCTTTGCATTCTCTTGGAGAATGTCTAAATCACAAGCCAACTCCTGAATGCTCTTCTGAGAAGCTCTGGTCAATGGCAACAGAAGCAGAAAGGCTGGTCCCAGTGGCCTTGTATCAGCCTTTCTGGACTCATGTTAGCAGCCCACTCAGAGCACGCTGGGCTGCCTCTCACCCAACATGCTTCCAGCAGATTTGAGGTCTGGTCATTTTTAAAAATTCAGAGCTGAACAGTAGTACCCAGAGAATTCACTGGGTCTGGCATGATGTGCTTTGCACACGTCCAGTCAACTCCCAGATCTCTGACATGAGTGGCCGTGTGTACTACATTTGGATAAAATTACCAGTGACCTTCACTAAAGCACAGACCAAAGCAGTTGTTTACATACGTGCAGTCCCCAGGTTACAAACATCTGACTTACACACAACCCATAGTTGGGACCAATCCCCGTAAAGCCTATTATATTAAAAATTCGAGGTCCATAATAACAAATTGGCGCTATTTTGCAACACGAATCAAAACATTCTTCTTATTATTACACTATTATTATGCTAAACATGTTTTAGTGTATCTGAAAGTGTTTCTTTAATGTTTTTCATGCATGGCAAGGTACGCTATGTACTATATGCTAAGACAAACATTTAACCAACGGATGTTAGATATGAACTGTACCTAACTATTCTGATTTACTTATGAGTTTGACTTAAAGATAGATTTAGGAATGGAACTCGTTCGTGATCTGGGGACTGCCTGTACTTTCCTGGGCTAAACAATCAGGAGTATTTCATCTCACTGGCAGAATGCTTTAAGAAAATTAGAAAAGAGTCTTGCAATAAAGGTCTATCTAGTATCAGACCGGAGCCCTGGTGGCACAGTGGTTAAGTGATACAGCTGCTTACGATAAGGTCAGCAGTTCAAACCTACCAGCCGTTCCTTGGAATCCCTATGGGGCAGTTCTACTCTGTCCTCTAGTGTCACTATGAGTTGGAATCGACTCTATTGCAACTGGCAACTGGTAGTATCAAATCAAACAAATCCTGAAGTATTCACTTTATGAGCCCCAGTCCACTTTTAATACAACAAAATTTCCTTCTTTCCAGGCCTGTATCATGTCTGAATCCATAAAGCAAAATCACCCAGCTTTGAAATTATTTATAGGTATAAAAACATGGTGCTCTCGAAATAATTATAAATGCTTTATAAATATAAATAAATTATAAATAATTTAAAATGCTTTGGTTTTTTTCTTAAGAAATGGAAATCAATGTCTACTGTAACATGTAGCACTCTTAGAAATAAGGCAAATTCTATACAAGTGACAGAATCTTACTTGAAGCAAGAAGTTTGGGTGCATTCAATCCAGCTATTGCTGTAATCATTAACAATAACTGAAGCTGGATCTACACTGCAGTGAGAACCATGTATGATGCACTCTAGAGTTAGCTTTGACATCTGTACTCACCATTCAGCAAAGGTCTAATATTAATGTGGGAACACTTGGTCCACTGTGCCTAGGGACTTGCCTTTCTTCTGGTCTGGCCTGGGATTTCTTCTGTTGTGGTGGCAGCGGTCAAGTTCAGCTGACGGTCATCTGCATGTCCTGTGTGTTCTTGTTATCTTCCTCATTATCTGACTCTACTCATTGCAGAAAATTCTCAGCTTCTGCTTTTGCCCTTGTCCAAATTTTCGTTTATTGCAGGATCTTTACTGGATTGCTAAGAGTATTCTGCTTTCCTCCTCTGTGCCCTGAAACTTGTTGGTTGTGAGTTGCTCACAGCCAGGAACACCAGCTCATGTCTGCGCTGTGTAGCAGGTGAGCTTCGTGTCTGTGTGTCCCCACGTGGTTATCCATGCTGCCATCATGGGAGGGGTTATGGATTGAATTGTGTCCCCCAAAAATAGGTATTGTGGAGCTGATTTAAGACTTTTGGGATAATGTGATGAGGTGAATGTATTTTGCACGTGGTGAGGACATGAATTTTGGAGGCCCAAAGGGTGGACTGTTATGGGTTGAATTATGCCCCCCAAAATATGTGCTGTAAATCCTAACCTCTATATCTGTGGTTATAATCCCATTTGGGAATGGGTTGTCTGTTATGTTAATGAGGAAGGAAAAGTGTAGGGTGTGTCTTGAGTTAATCTCATTTGAGATATAAAAGGAACAGATTAAGGAAGCAGAGATGGGGTAAGATAGACATCAAGACACATGGAGATTTCCAAGTAACCAGGAAGCAGAAGCTGAAGAGACAAGGACCTTCCTCCAGAGCCAACAGAGAGAGAAAGCCTTCCCCTAAAGCTGGTGCCCTGAATTCGAAATTCTAGTCTCCTGAACTGCAGAAGACAAATTTCTGTCCATTAAAGCCACCCACTAGTGGTGTTTCTGTTATGGAAGCACTAAGAATCTAAGACAGGAAGGTAATATTATGCACACTTACTTTCTTTTTAGTTTAGGTTTTTTTTTTTAGTTGTTTTACTTTAAGTGAAAGTTTACAATTCAAGTCAGTCTCTCATACAAAAATTTATACATACAATGTTATGCGACCCCAATTGCTCTCCCTATACTGTGATAACACACTACTCCTTTCAATTCCTGATTTCCCAGGTCCATTCAGTCAGCACGTAACCCTCTCTGTCTTCTCATCTCACCTCAAGACAGAAGCTGCCCATTTAGTCTTTTGTATCTACTTGAGCTAAGAGGTACACTCTTCACGAGTATCATTTTATATCCCACAGTCCAGTCCAATCTTTGTCTGAAGAGTTGGCTTTGGAAATTGTTTCAGTTCTGGGCTGATAGAGAATCAAGGGGCCATGCTTTTCGGGGTTCCTCCAGTCTCAGTCAGACCATTAAGTCTGGTCGTCTTACTGGAATTTGAGTTCTGCACCTCACCCTTCTCCTGCTCCATCAGGGACCTTCTCTTGTGTTTCCTGTCAGGGCAGTCATTGGTGGTAGAGGGTCCCATCTAATTCTTCTGGTCCCTGCTGATAAAGTCTCTGGTTTATGTGACACTGTCTGTCTCTTGGGCTATTACTTTCCTTGTGTCTTTGGAGTTCTTCATTCTTCTTTACTCCAGGTGGTTGGGACAAATTGATGAATCTTAGATGGCTGCTTGCTAGCTTTTAAGACCTGAGATGCCACTCACAAAAGTAGGATGCAGAACATTTTCTTAATAAAATTTGTTACATCAATTGATCTAGATGTCCCCTGAAAGCATGGTCCCCAGACCCCCAAAACTGCTACTCTGTCTCTCAAAGTTTTTTATTGTATTCAGGAAACTTCTTAGCTAGGTTTAGTCCCTTTTGCATACTTACTTTCTCATGAGAGGTAGCTGCCAGACTGATAGGCAAGTATACTCCCCCAGAACAGAAACCTGGGCTCAAGAAGACTTCATCCCCACTGGCTGCCGCCTTCCAGGACTGGAAGTGTGATCACTGTCTGGTTAACACTGTGGTTTATGTGAGCATCAAGGCATATGCTACTTGTGCCTGAGCAGCAGCCATTCCTCAATCATCTACTTAGCAGTGCTCCAATTCTTCTTTGGGAAACCAGCTTTCTTCATTTCTCAGGCACAGGGTTTGACTCCACTACCTGGTTTTAGAGGTATAGATGAGGTACAGACCTGACCAATCTGCATAGTCCATCCCTTTGGCTACAGTGATTGGATGAGAGAAGGGTATATGGCCCAGAATGGGCAAATCTCAGTGAATCTGAAGATGTTCGCAATCATTGTTGGGTGTGCTCTCTGCACCAGTGTTACTAAATTGGCAGGATGTAAATTGGAGATGTTAGGGCTCTCTTGCTGCTGGGTGAGTAGATCTTGTGGAGTTTCACCGATGCAAAGGAAAGCAGCTGCTAGAGACAAAGATAGGTAAGTTTGTTTGAGCACTTGGACCCAGCCATGCCTGAAGCCAGCCCTCAGATGTTTTAGGCATATGAGTCAATACATTTCTTTCTTTGTTTTTTTGTTTTGTTTTTATGTCAATTTGAAGTGGTTTTTGTTACTTCCAACTGTGAGTCCAGACACATGATAATGTCAAAACCAGCACTGGAACTAGAGTAAAGCAAGCAAGTTGCCTTGGGCACAAAATTTAAGGAGGTACTCACTCTCAGCATTGTGCAAGCACAGAGTTGGCATTTGCACACACTTGAGAGGGAGTGCCTTCTTACACTTTGCACCCTAGGCATCTCATTCACCTCTGGTCAAAACATTCAAGATGGTTACTGAGGAGTCATGCTGAACATTGAAAGAAGGTATTCTTGCATCATCAAAAAAACTTCACAACTGGACCAGTTAGTAACATTGTGATAAGTAGAGAAAATATTGAAGTTATTAAGGATTTAATTTTACTTGTCTCAACAATCAATGCCTGTGGAAGCAGCAGTCAAGAAATTAAATAAAGTATTACAACGGGCAAACTGCTGCAAAGGACCTCTTTAAAGTGTTGAAAAGCAAAGATGTCACCTTGAAGTCTAAACTGCTCCTGACCCAAGCCATGGTATTTTCAATCACCTCATATGCATGTGAAAGCTGGACAATGAATAAGGAGGACTGAAGAAGAATCGACACCTTTGAATGTTGGTGAAGAATATTGAATATACCATGGACTGCCAGAAGAATGAACAAATCTGTCTTGGAAGAAGTACAACCAGAATGCCCCTTAGAAGGAAGGATGGTGAGACTTCATCTCACATACTTTGGACATGTTATCAGGAGGGACCAGTGCCTGGAGAAGGACATCATGCTTGGTAGAGCAGAGGGTCAGCAAAAAAGAGGAAGACTCTCAACCGGATGGACTGACACAGTGCCTGCAACAATGAGCTCAAACATGGCAACAATTGTGAGGATGACGCAGGACCAGGCAGTGTTTTGTTCTGTTGTACGTATGGTTGCTATGAGTTGGAATCAACTTGACAGCACCTAACAACAACAACATTCTTCTACCATGGAAGACTGTTATACTGGTGTCCTTAGCAGGATAATATGAGAGTAAGTAGCATCTGAAGCTCATGAGGTTAAAAATGTTGTTGTTAGCTGCCACCTAGTTGGCCCCCAACTCATGGCAACCCCACACACAACAAAACAAAACGCTGCGCAGTCCTATGTCATCCCTATGATCAGTTGCGGATCAGACAGTTGTGATCCACAGGGTTGTGATTTTCAGAAGTAGATTGCCAACCCTTTCTTCCTAGTTCATCCTGGTCTAGAAGCTCTGCTGAAACCTCTTCAGCATCATAGCAACATGCAAGCCACTGACGGGTGCTGGCTGTGCATGATGTGCACTGGCTGGGAATCGAACCTAGTCTCCCACATGGAAGGCAAGAATGCTATCACTGGACTACCAATGTACTGGAATATAAATTCCAAGCCTAATTCTAGACCCAATTTTGGATTGCTCAGAAGTGATTTCTCCTCATTTTCAAAAAGAAGTGATTCTTTTTGAAAATTACACCATTAATATTGAAATAACTAAATAGCAGGGCTGACCAGTATACCCTTTTGGCTCAGGTCCTTGTTGGTTACAGCGGAGCTCTCTGGAAATCATATGGAGCTCCGAGTTTGGGTCACACTAATTTATGCCTCTATAAATGTCTTCCTTTGAGATGATGCTTGTTTTTAAAACAATTAAAGGCAGAGCAGATGCAGTAGGTCTTTAGAGGAAGAAAAAAAAAGCTCCCATATAATGAAAATCAATTGGATAATGTTAATGTGGAAATGGCTTTCAGAAATGGTTAGAGTGGTTTATCATAATATTAGTCTCAGGCCTTGGAAGACATTAATAAAATGTTATACGCATATTAGAGAGCAGGGAGTCTTTTCCTGATCATATAACTTTAAATGCAGACGACCTGTCATTTCTCTGAGATTTGTTTAATGGCTCCAGCTTTCAGATCCTATTTTATGGTAGTGCTTAAGCTTCTAAAATGCAATAGGATTCATTTGCTTGATCTCTGCAACAGGTCAAAAGACCAGGCCAAAATCATTTATCATCTTGTATTAAAAGCCCAGCCAAGTTCAAGACCTGGTGCTATTGATTGTTCCCGTTCTCACCTGTATCATCAACCTGTCCCTTGCAACTGGCTCCTTTCCATTAACATTAAAACATGTTCAAGCCTCTCCCATCTTAAAGATTTATAAGTTCCCCTCTATTGCCCTTCTTTTCATAGTCAAATTTTTTGCACTTGCTGATTTCAATTCCTTACCTTTTGTCATGGATAGAATTATGTCCCCCAAAAAATGTATGTATCAATTTGGCTGGGTCATGATTCCCAGTATTGTATGATTGTGTAATATTTTGTAATCTGATGTGATTTCCTTATGTGTTATAAACTATCATTATGATGTTATAAGATGGATTAGTGGCAGTTATACTGATGAAGTCTACAAGATTAGACAGTGTCTTCAGCCAATCACTTTTGATATACAAAAGAGAGAAGTGAACAGAGACACATGGGAACCTCATACCACCAAGAAGGCAGTGCTGGGATCAGAGTGCATCCTTTGGACCTGAGGTTCCTGTGCTAAGATGCTCCCAGACCAAGGGAAGACTGATGACAAGGACCTTCCTCCAGAGCTAACAGAGAAGAGAAAGCCTTCCCCTGGAGCTGACACCCTGAATTTGGACTTGCAGCCTACTGGACTGTGAGAGAATTAATTTCTCTTTGTTAAAGCTATCCACTTGTGGTATTTCTGTTATAGCAGCACTAGATGACTAAGACACCTCTCATTCATTCCTCAACCCAAACACAGCCTGACTTCTCTCCATAATGCTCCATGAAAACTGCTCTTGCCCTTAGCACAAATGGCCTCCTTGTCATGAAGTCCAATGGACACCTTTCAGTTTTAATCTCCATTGGCCTCCTGGAAATTTTGATGCTGCTGACTCTCCCTTCCCCCACCGACTCCCAACCACCCTCACCCCCCACTCCTGGATGGACTAGGATG